AAGGAGATGCACTTGTCCCTGGTTTGTATCCACAGCAGTGTCCCCAGGTGGTGATGGCAGCAGGTTCCACACTGCCAGGGCATGCTGTGTTTCTGATTTCTGACTGTCAATGGCCAAGGGACATTGACTGCAGTCTTGAAAACTTTTTTGGAGTCGTGGCCCCCTTGCCCTGACAGTTGCAGTGGGTTATGTGAGTTCCACCAAATGCCAACAATTCCTGGAGGATACAAGAACCTCTCTGTTCCTGAGCGAGGCTGTCTCTCAGGTGTCTCTCAGCTGCTGCTCTACAGCAAAAGAGCAGAATGAACAAGGAAGTGGGTGCTTCCAAAGGCCTCAGCATAAGAATGTCACTAACACTTGGGAGAAAAAGGCTGGGAAAGTCTTGATGTTCCCAGTAATAACAGAAGAAGGCTGCTGGGGCTGTCACCACCTGCAGGGACTGCACAACAATGGGACACCTGCACCCCATCTCTCTTCTGTGGATTGCACCTCCTCTCTCCATGGCTTGTGGAAGGAACATGAGAAGGGATGCAGCTCTGTGTTCTGTATGAAATGAATGGACCTTGTGTGCTTACAGATCCTCAGGAGGGCTGGATGGAGGCAGCTGTGAAGGGGGCAAGGCAGCCTGCTGGGTTAGTGTAGCTCTTTAGCACACAGCCCACAGTGTTTGCCTCACATTTAGCACTACTGATAAAGAAGAAGCTGCTGCTCCCTCAGCACTCTCCTGCTTCAACTCCCTGTCATTTCCTGACTCCCATCAGCTCCGCCTGCCCTCCACTTCAGTAGGTTATACCATGAGGTCCACTCCTTCATGGGAGGAGTGCAAGAAACTGTGTGAAAGGGGAACATCAAATGTAGAAATTATTTCAGAGGGGAAGGTTCCCCCCCAGTCAGCTTAGGAGACAGTGCCTTCTGAGACTGCTGGGAGAAAACTGTGACAGTAAAATCTTGGTGGCCTTTCACCTTTATCACCTAAGGGGAATGTGTGATTATAGACAAAAGCAGGCACTGACTTTAAGAGGGTGCTGCAGGCTGGAACCATTTAGCTTCACTATTCAGAAATGCCACCATCAAGAGGAGACCAGCACAGAGCAGCAGTGAAAATCAAGGCCATGCATACTGGACACCCTCAAACCAGGAGGCACTTTTAGAACTTGTTTTGGGGCTGACTTAGAAACTGGAAATAATAATAATAGTAATAATAATAATAATAATGTCTTTCCTAAATAAAGACTGAATGGGCTTTATCAGCACTAAAATATGTGCTGACCTTCCATCCAAGACAATATTAAGCAAGAATGTTTACTTATCGTATTACTGTGTATTACTATATATTACTCTGTAACTGCTTATGTCACCAGAAGTCATGAGGCAGTCTTAGATTTACTTTTCTTCCTCCAGACAGGTAATGTGGAGTGTGCTTCTCTTTAGAACTGATTTTCTCTTCTAATTTTGACTACCCAAACAGTCATTCTGTATCCTTCAGTCTCCAGTCTCTGGGTCTTTGGAGGGGCAGATCCTTCAGGGAATCTCTCTAATATTCATGGTATTGCAAGAAAGCTTCCTCTGCCTCCCACAGGAAAACCCTTTGGCCTGGACAGCAAAAGCACCATTGATTCTGCAGGTGCTGAACAGAGATCTCCTCTTGAGATTGGTGGCAACATCCACAGTGGTGACTGGGTATTTCATTTGAGGAAGCACAACCTCTAGGGGATGGAGGACAGCCCACCTTCTACAAGAAGATCTGACATCTTGAACTTCATTGGGTAAGCCTTGTATAATACTGTGGATTTATCACAAATTTCTTCTCCCCTTGAGCTGAAGACTTTTCCCAAATACTGGCTTTCAACAACAAGCCCAAGAGTATGCAGTGCCATCACCCCTGAGGGCCAGCTGGTTTGGTGGTACACAGCAAGGAAACTGTTTTCAGCAGAGCTAGTTTATCTGAAAAAACAGCCTCCCAGCAGAACAGATCATTGCCCCACACAAGTGACCTGAGGCTCAAAGCAAGTTTATTTTGCTTGCAGTTTGGGACAGACAGTAGTATGAGTCTGAGTTTGATGAGATGACATCCAGCAGTCATGTGCTGCCTTTTGCCACTAGTGAGAGTGGAGCTCAAACAGGTAACATGCAAAATTCACATGAACAGATGGGATTGGAGAATTAATTTGATTTCCCTAAACAGTACTAGAAATAGCCCTATGTTGTAACATAGTAAGAACATGATTATCATTTAATGCTATTTAATAAATATGCTGATTAATTTAGGCAACAGTAATCAGTACCTGCACAGATTAACAAACTTGACCAGTCAGGGGTGTGAAACAACCATGAGGATATGATATACTAACTCTGCTTTGCATTTTAAGGTTGAATTTGGGCATCGCTTCCTAATACCCTGAAGAAGTCTTCTTCCAAAATTCAAGATGCATTTGGCTATGACAGGAGTCTGTATTTCTTTATTTTGTATTTGATGCCGAATGGAAGGCAAAAAACTAATCTCTTATTTGGGGTGCTGTGAGAATAGGAAGAACAGAATTAATTTGTGATCGGAATTTTATAAAGTCTTTTTTGATCAGGTTTATAAATCAGTAAGGCTTTGGAAGAAAAATTAATCTTTGTAAATCCAAATTATTCTGATAAGTCCAAATCAGAATAGATACTTCTGGTGACAGTTTCTCCAGACTTAGGGACCCTAGGAATCCTGTAAAGCATAGGTTCCTCACAACTCCCTCTTGGTCCCCAGTTAAGAACTGGGCCAGCCAGGTACCTCTCAGGGGTGGGGTTTGCTCTAACAGGGTGTAGCTCAGCTGACCCCACATGGTGTTTCAAAGCCTGCCTTCTTGTTGCACTTCTCACAGGCCCTGTGTCCATAGAGCCTTAGATCACAGCACATCTGTCCTACAGCATCCTCCTTCATGCAAACTCACATTTTTAAGGTCAAACGTTTGCCAGCAACAGCTCACACACATTGCAGCCATGAGCACAAACTCGGGCTGGGTTGGGAATGGATCAGGAGGAGCCCTGGGAAGGACCAGGGGCCATTGGTGGACAAGAAGCTCAACATGACCTGGCAGTGTGTACTCACAGCCCTGAATGCCAACTGCATCCTGGGCTGCATCCAAAGTAGTGTGGCCAGCAGGGCGAGGCAGGTGATTCTCCCCCTCTGCTCCAATTTGGTGGGACCCCACATGAGGTATTGCATCCAGCACAAGAAGGATGTGAGCCTGCTGGAGCAAGGCCAGGGCAGGGCCATGAAGATGATCTGAGGGCAGGAGCACCCCTCCCTCCTATGAAGACAGAGTGCTGGGGTTATTCATCAGGGGCAAAAAAGGCTCCTGGGAGATCTTATAGCAACCTTCCAGTACCTAAATGGGACTACAAGAGAACTGGAAAGGGACTTTTATAAGGGCTTGTAGTGACAGGACAAGGGGGAATGGCTTTTAAATGAAAAAGAGTAGGTTTGGATTAGATATTAGGAAGAAATCCTTTACTGTGAGGGCACGGAGGCACTGGGACAGGTTTGCTCAGAGATGTGGATGCCCCATTCATGGAAGCATTTAAGGTGAGACTGGATGTCACTTGAAGAAACTTGTTTGAGTAGAAGTTGTCCCTGCCCATTGCAGGGGTTTAAAACGATTTTTAAGGTCCTTCCCAACCCAAACCATTCTATGATTCTATGTGATTTGGCATTATGACTTGAATAAATGAATAATTACTGAAGGGGGTTTCCAAGGGCAGAAGCTTTGCAGCTTCTCCTGAGCTCCTCTGAGGTAGTGCAGGGCAGGGAGCAGCTGGGTGAGTGTTGTGCTCAAGTTGTCCTCCCTCCTGTCCTACTGCCAGCACATGGCCCATCACTGGGGTGGTGGTGGACAGGAAATTTCAGGCTGGTAACTGTAATGAGATTTACTCAGTCCTGCTGTCTCGTTTGCCTTGTATCACAGGGCATCTCCCAGGATGTACTGTATGTTGAAAACTTTCTTGGCAAAGAGTGACAGCAGCTGCACTGGGGCAGGCCTCAGCAGAAGGGAGCCACATATACAACTTGCTGATGACCTTTGATTCGACTACCAATGTGTAGCAAGCAAATATTTAATCCTATGCCATTTAGAAGGGAAGCACAGCTTTAGCATGGGGAACTCAGGCAAGGTGTGCTGCTATGATAGTCCTGGGCTGTGCCCAAGAAGGGGCAAGCAGCCCCTTTCCCCTCCTCTTCCACTCCAGCAGAGCAGCTCACCCTGCCCACCATGCCCACACCAGGGAAGGGGCAGATGCTCAGACCCCAACAAGTCAAGTGATTGCTGTACCAAGGAAGGCAGGAGTTTTAAAGCTTCAAGCCCCAAGACAAAATAACTGTGGCCATTCCTCCTGCCCCACATTACCTGTGACCTCATACAGGCAGAGGCTGTGTGACAGGGAGGCCACCTCTGGATTTGGCTGCCTGCTGTGACCAGCGGGCTGGATCCAGCTGCTGGTCTCAGTATGTGTCAAGAAATCTATTGGTGTTAGTTAGGTGCAGCAACAGGCCAAGAGGGTATTTATCCTCAGAGTGGGGCCGAATTAGCTCTTTTGGTCAGTTTATAATTAGGTACTTGCATTTAACAGTATTCTTTCTGTTGGATTTTTATAGTTTTGTCTTTTCTTTTTTAAACATGAAAATAATCAGTCTTAAAATAAAATAATTTATAAAAAAAATACCCTGGGAAGTGATCTATAAAAGGAGAAAGTCCTTGCCAAGGGGAATGCCACAGCAGCGAGCCCAAGCCACAGAAAGCCCGGCTGAAGGCTTCACTTTGCCGCAGCTTCTCAGAGGTTAACCAGGGTCTGTAAGCAAACAGCTTAAAGAAGGAGCCCGGCTTAGTGCCTGGGTCTTGGGCTGTCCCAGAGCCTACCAGCCTAATGCCCTTGCAGCAGCCCCTCCCTCCCAAAGGCGATGCTGGGCAAACAGAGCCAGCCCTCGCCCTCTCCTCCCGCAGCGAGGAGCCTGCGGGGCCGGACCGGACCGCGCTGGGGCTCGGGGGCATCGCAGGAGAGGGTGTTCCACTTCAGACGGGCGCGGAGCCATGTGTATATAAAGCCTGGGGCAGCAGCCCGGCAGGGTTGTTTAGCACAACCACACCTCGGCTTACTTGGCAGCCCGGCGAGGCACGGCCGGAGTGCCGGCAGCTGATCCCCGAAGTACCCGAGTGTGGGAGCGATCTGCCCATGGGCCCCCGCCTGCTGCTGGTTCTGGTGCTGCTTCAGGCAGGTGAGTACCAGCCCTCGGTCCCTCTGCCCTGCCTGCCATCAGTTTTGCGTGCTTTGTGCCAGGACTTCTGTATGATGTGGCCAAGTGAGGGAAAAAAAGTGTCACTAGACAATCCTCAACTTTACAGTGAGGGGACTGTGTAAGTGAGCTGCCTGCCTGCCTCACTTCCCAGCCCCAGCTATGGTTTGCATAAACTGTATAAACATAGGCTTTTTTCTTTAATAGATTTCTGCTACAGAGTTTTTAGTGTCTGTGTTTCATAGAAATACCTTCTTTTTATACCGGAGTGAGCAGTTTTCAACGCATCTGAATTTAAAATAATTTTTTAAAATTCTGTTTATAAAAGCCATAAATGGCTGCTAACATAAAGCCCCTACAGACAAAGGCAACAAAACACTAAACTGGCATTTCTGAGGTTATACCTGCAGTAGAGTTTAAAGAAAAAAAAAACAGCCCCCTGCCTTCGTTAACAGCAAAGCCTGCCAGTTTAAGCAGGAAATAGTGCTAAGTTCTCAGATTCACCTCTGCTCACCTCTCTGCAGGTATGTTTTTCTCTAAGGTGGTCCATTAGTAGTTTAACTAATTATTGGACATGCTGCTAACGGGACATTTGGCTAGGAGCAGGCTGCTGTGGAGTCTCAGACTTTTTCAAGGCTTTCCTGGCTGTGTGGGCTTGGCTGCCTAACACAGAGAAAGCAATTTCAGTTCTTGGTCAAGTTATTATATGTGCACCTGAATATTAAAAATGTACTTGCTGGGGCTGACCTCTCAGCTGCAGCAGCGCACTGCTGGCTCAAAACCCAGACAGCTTTCAAAGAACAGGAACATCAGAGGCTGCCTGGATGCCTCTTGCAGAAAATACAGCCCTAAGCACACTAATTGAGTCTTTTGGACTGAGTTTCCTTTGGGGCATTCTCTCCACTTTCATAGCAACTCTGCACTGTAATTACAGTTCCTTGATCTCCAGCGATATCTCCAAAAGAATGGCCTTTCTTCTTCTGGGTGAGGTACAGTTACTTTACAGCAGCCTCAACCATTTTCAGCCAGTGGCCAACACGCCAAGCCCAGCAGTCCTGGCTTAAGAGGCCAGTGAAAGACAGCTAAAAAAAAATTCAAGCCGTTTGTCAGAAGGCTGGGATTCCTACAAAGAAGTTTTTGTCTCCACTGGAATATTTTCAGGGTCTGCAAACTGCAACAGGTTGAAAAAGGTTGATTTATACCCCCAAATCCAAAGCAGCTCACTACTTGGGATTTCCCCTGAGAGCTAAGCCCCCTTCTAACTCCGGAGCCTTGCTGTTTAGACAAGGAAAATAAGTGGTCTCTTTAGTTCTCAATAAAACCCATCCAATGTGTTTTTAGCACGAAACCTGAACACTCAAGTAGTGTTTAGGTGAGCAGCCGCTTACTTTTTCAGGAATGTGCATTTAATCGCCGAGGAATGCCCCAGGAAGCAGACTGAGGCTGTGCTGTGAGGGCCTGAGGTGTGGATCCCTGGGGTGAAAATGGTGGCACCCACTCCTGCTGGGAGGTCAGGCAGGGAGAGGGAGCAAAGCCCTGCCTTGTCCTTCATGGGGAGAGACCGTCCTTGTCTTCACTGGCATTTGGATTGGGCTCGGAGGGCAAGGTAGCCCAGGCGATGCGGGAAGAGGCCCAAGCAGGGGGATTAGAGGCTAGGTTTTAAAAGGAAAGCAACTGTTTTAATAATAGTATTGAGTCCTTGGGTGGTTTAGGGGATTAATTAGCCCGTGTTTGCAGAACACTTTGAAGAGGTCAAGCCTGCTGCAATAGCCAGAAGCAGGTGGCAAAGCAACATCAAGTGGCCAGTTGCCAGCTCCCAGGAGTCACCCCCCTCTCCATCCAAGCATGCTGGAAAGCCCCCGTTTGATTTTGGAGCGCCTGTGCATGGGTGGGATGAGCAGATGGGTCAGGCTTTCGGGCTCAGGATTTTTATCCTACTGATAGAGCAGTGCAAAGTGCATTTGGTCCTTCACAGTAAATCCAGGCACAAATTGCTCCTACTTGTCACTACCTCATGATAAGCAGCAACGTTTGCTACTGAGCATCACAGTGATTTGAGTATTATGGGCAGGGTACTCTTGGTTTCCACAACAGTTACTGCAAGAATGAGCCTGTGGCTTCTAAAAAGTTCCAAATTAACATGCAAAATCATGGGACTGAAAGACTTGTAAGTCAAAAATCTCCAGACTGGTTTCAGTGGCCATCCACACGCTCCAGCTGACACAAAGCTTCTTTCTTCTTTTTTCCCCAAATTAGTGCTGTCCACCTGTTACGACTTAGGTGGAACATAATAACAGAAGCAGACGCAAGTGTTGCCAGCACTTCCATAGTCTCAAGAGAAAGCAGCTATACACATATCTTGGCTAATGGAGGCACTTTGTCCTTGATAAAGCACGTACTCTACAGGCTCAAGAGCATGTAGCTGTCTCTCTATGCAGATTAGTAGGACTATCAATATGTTTTGCCACCTGGAAAATGGGTTAAAAGATCCTGAATAATAAGGAGACTTGGATATCGTAAGAAATCTTGAGCAACATAGAAACTTCATTTCTTTCTGCTGCTTCATGTCCTAGTCAGGACCATAGCATAGCTGGAAAAGTGTCCCAGGTTTGGGAGCTCTGGAGTACATTGAAGCCTGGCTGGCCCTCCATGGTGCTGGCACAGACCCTGCAGAGCTTAATAGCTTGGACTCTATGGTGAGCAAGACCACACACACTGCTCCTGGGTGCAACACAGCTGCAATCACACACTAGTACACCAGAACTAGAAAGTCCTGCTTGAATTGAGCTCCTGTGGAAGAAATAGCATGCTTGGGCATTTCTGCAAGCACTTTTTGATTATCCCAGATACAGGGAAAGCTCCCTGCAGAGTACTCTTGGCCAGCTGAATGTCATGACTAGTTAGATGGTCAGGGCTGCAGCCAGCCAACCAGTCAAAATCAAAACCATCTCCCTTTAAGGACTGCAGGAAAACCAGTAGCAGCCCTGTTTAATCCTTGTGTGTAACCATGTCCTGTCTTTGCAGTTTGGAAAGGTGCTCTGGGAAAGTCCCATTCACTGCACACTCGAGGAATCATTGAACTGGCTGGAGCCATAACGTGTGGCACAGGACGGTCTCCCTTGGCATATATTGGCTATGGGTGCTACTGTGGACTGGGAGGACGAGGTTGGCCTAAAGATAAAACAGACTGGTAAGAGAAACCTCAGCTATGTGTCCAGAAGAAGTGCAGATCTCCCTGCTTGTCTCTGTTTGTGCTACTGTGACTCCACTGATTCATTTGCTGCCTTGTGGGCAGGGAACTTAGTATATATCAACATACTGGGGATTTGGGAGTGATTACCTATGTATCAGTTGGGATTTGAAGGAGGGCTTAACCTCCTTCTGGATGACAACAAAGCTCTTAGAACTTTGTAATATGTGGGGTAGAGGGCAAAAGAGAAACCAGGATGTAATTTTTTAAAATAGCTGTTTGTTTTTTCATAGATAGCACACCCTGCCTGACAAAAGGAGAGTAATCCAAAGTATAGGGAGGGTTATTTCACCCAGGTCCTTAAAATGGCAGTTATGCAAATATTACTGTTTGTCTTCTTGAAGAAATCCGTATAGTTGCAAGGAGTAATCAAACCTGTTGCCTTCATTGACTGTTAGTTCCCACTGAATCAAGGCAGGACAATAAGGGAGAGCATGGTGTTATTTCCCCTTTTCTTTGTTAGTGGGGAAGATGTTTGCCTTGTCATTCCCAACAAGTGTTGGAGGTAATGCATGCAAAGGCTTCTTTCCTGTACTGTGCAATGAGCATAAAGAGAGTAAATGAGAGTAAAACTGAGGATAGTGGACTCTTGTTGCTCTGAGCCTGATATTTGCAATCTTGCCAGGTTTGAAATATCAAAGCACACAAGGCTATCTACAGTCAACAGACCAGGTGCTACTAGTTAGCAAGCTCTGCTTTTAGCGGGGGTGAAGGTAGTCTGCAGCTCACTGAGAAGGAAACTGAGCTTTCCAGAATACCTTGCTGCTGGAGACATTGCAGGTTGCTACAAAACCAGAGTTTGCTGAATTAGAGTGACAGAAAAAAGGGACGGGGGGAGGAGGGGAGTGAAGGAAGAAAAGATGTCAAAGTTAAAGATTTCTGTGGGCATGAATGAGAAGTTGTCTGTCCCTTAAGACTAATGGAGCTGTCTTCATTAATGCAGCGAGATGTTTCACTCCCAAAGCCCTCTCATCATATCCCTTTATTTGTCTGTGAAATATGTCATCTATGAAACAGTCAATATGGGCCTCACAAATAATGAGTAACTACAATAATATCTCTTGACCTGCTTATCACAGTGCTTATCTACAGCAGCATATGTAAGGTGTTTAATTATTTTTGTTATCCTTTAACAAATTTCATAATAAAGCCTTGAAAGTAAAACATGACTTCACTAATTTGGAGCACTGCTTTTATTGAAGGGCTGAGCAGCTGTTTTCCATAGAGGCTGAGTGACATCCAAATTTGTGCAATCCTGGGAGATGCAAGTAGTCATCACTCCTGAAAAAGAGAGAGTAAAAATATGGCCACATGATCAGCAACCAGTGTTTCTGCTGTTGTTTAAATTGCACGGAGTATTTTAGCATTTTATCCTAAAGGCAGAAAATGAGACTTTGCAAGTGAAAATACCTCAAAATATCAGATAGTTTGTAAAAGGGAAGCTTGATCCTTTAAGTACGTTCATTATTATTCCTTAGCTGCAATGCTTGGCTGCTGTAGAAAAACTTAAAAGTTTTATTTAGGTTCTTAGCTAGGAAAAATCAGCAATGCCACACTAGATTTAGGCCTAAAAAATTCAATCTTCTGTTTGCTAGAGAAATACTGATATCTGTTACTAAGAACTACTGCAATGATCAGTGTGGTTGAATACCCCACACCTGTCAAAGTGACCTTATTATTTTCCATATTTGCCATTCTAAAAAAGAAAGTGGCAAAACTACTGGCTGTGAGTGACAAATACTGTTTGAAAATTATTCACCTCCTTGACCTTCCAGGTTTGTTACAGAGACCCTTACAAAAGGAGTAATTTTCTCGTGTGTAATACAGTCAATCTGTCTAGACAGGGCTAGAGTGCTTCTAAGCACCCCTCTTTTATGTGAAAAAGAAAAAAAAGCCATTGAGTGGGTAATCCTTTTATAAGGCTTATTCCACATACTGACTTTGATGTGGTGTTGTAAGTAATTACCTTTTCCCTTTTGTTCCACTCTCACTGTTCCATCACTACAAGGCATAATGACATTTCTTCTACATAGAGGCATTCGATTTGTTTCTCCTTTCTGTTCCCCTGGATTGCTGCAGCACCTATGTTGTAAAGTAGAAGCTAGGGGTGCTCAGCACTTCCCTGAAAAACACCATGAAAGGCAGGGTGCATCTATGACTCATCTGTCACAGGATCGTTAAGGCTAGAAAAGATATCTAAGATCATTGCATCCAACTGTTAAATCCTGGCCAACTCGTTGGGAAGAGTAAGATTTCTCCTCTCTCGCTAGGTTAAAGCAAAAGGAAAAGCCACACAGCAATGAGGATGCCGTTGATGTGACAAATTCTTACCTTATTGGCATTTGCCCAACAGCAGGGGGTCTGGCCAGCTGATCGCTGCGGACTAGCCGGAGCTGTCTGTAGCCTTTAGGGCTGTCTCGTAGCTCAGCCGTGATGAGCAGGTTGTTGACTACCCAGGTGACAGCAGTGTTTGTTTGCCATCGCTGATGACCAGTGCTGTGCCACGGCGTTGGCTGCCTCTGTTTGTGTTGGTGCAAACCCACGTTAGGAGGTCATTAAAAGCTTAGCACCACTCTGTCCCAGGTGCAGCAAAGGGCATTTCCAGACGGGAGGGGACCATCTGAAGGTGGCAAAGGACAACAACAGCATTCCTTAGTCTTCATTCCTTGACAGTTCTTTCAGATGTCTGTAAAATTCTTGCTTTGTGTTGGAATAAGCTATCTGTCACCTTGCTGCAGCTGTGGGGATCATCAGGAGGAACTGCTGTAAGGGGAAGCAGAATTGTGCCCCAAATCCTGTGGTTCTGCAGAGTTTATGCAGCTTCCCCTGGCTTTGCCAAGCCAGATAATGAGCAGCGAGTTCTCACACCTAGCTAGAACATCATTTGCTTGTGCAAATTCAGTGCTCATTTGCTTGTCCTTGCCTGATTCAGAGAACATCTTTTGCCCCCTACACTATCTGTCCTCATTTCTCCTACCTCTCTCTTTGTTCCCTCTGGCTCTTCATAAAGAGCAATTTCTTTTCCTTGGCACAGAGGGTCCTAACACCTCCCTTTGCTCGTGTATCTACACATTGTTTTTCTTCCCCATACTTCCCCATCACTGACACCAACTTTACCAGTTTGGCTACTGACTCACTCCCTAGACCTCACAAATCTTTGGTTTCTATAGCTGGCACTCCCCTCCATCACAGCCTCTGGTGCTCAGTGTGAAAAATGTGTATTTTACGATTGGCTTTTCACAAGTATTAAAATGAATATTGTATTATGTTAGAAAGTTATGCTATTTTAATTTTCTTAAGTAGTGTATTAAATATAGTTTTAGGTTATAACATAATGTTAAAATAGAAACTATGCTATGTAAGATATTTGTTTAAGAAAGGACTCGCACCAGATAGAAGCCACAGGACACCTAAATCTTTCAGAGAAAGGGAATTTATTGCTCCCTTATCAGCAGAAAACGAACTTCTTCCCACCTCGCTCAGACAGGAAGACGGCATGAGGATTAAGAGGAAGAAGTTGACAGTGACCAGACAGAATCCTGTGTTTGAATGGAATTTATGCATCATGTATGAGGTGTATGAATATGCAACAGGCGATTGTTTTTAAGGGTTAATACTCTGTTAACGGGTGTCCTTTTTCGGGCTTGCTGTTGCCCAGAAAAAAGTACCCGACCTCGCTCAGACAGGAAGACGGCATGAGGATTAAAAGGAAGAAGTTGACAGTGACCAGACAGAATCCTGTGTTTGAATGGAATTTATGCATCGTGCATGAATATGGAACAGGCGATTGTTTTTAAGGGTTAATACTCTGTTAACGGGTGTCCTTTTTTGGGCTTGTGTTGCCCAGAAAAAAGTACGCGGACGTCCGTACTTTGTTTTTATTGTCCCATATTGTCCTAATCTCGATTTTTTGTTCAAATTTTATTACTCTAATTATATTACTATTTTTATAACCATTTTATTACTATTAAACTTTTAAAATTCTCCTACCTCTCTCTTTGTTCCCTCTGGCTCTTCATAAAGAGCAATTTCTTTTCCTTGGCACAGAGGGTCCTAACACCTCCCTTTGCTCGTGTATCTACACATTGTTTTTCTTCCCCATACTTCCCCATCACTGACACCAACTTTACCAGTTTGGCTACTGACTCACTCCCTAGACCTCACAAATCTTTGGTTTCTATAGCTGGCACTCCCCTCCATCACAGCCTCTGGTGCTCAGTGTGAAAAATGTGTATTTTACGATTGGCTTTTCACAAGTATTAAAATGAATATTGTATTATGTTAGAAAGTTATGCTATTTTAATTTTCTTAAGTAGTGTATTAAATATAGTTTTAGGTTATAACATAATGTTAAAATAGAAACTATGCTATGTAAGATATTTGTTTAAGAAAGGACTCGCACCAGATAGCAGCCACAGGACACCTAAATCTTTCAGAGAAAGGGAATTTATTGCTCCCTTATCAGCAGAAAACGAACTTCTTCCCACCTCGCTCAGACAGGAAGACGGCATGAGGATTAAAAGGAAGAAGTTGACAGTGACCAGACAGAATCCTGTGTTTGTATGGAATTTATGCATCGTGCATGAATATGGAACAGGCGATTGTTTTTAAGGGTTAATACTCTGTTAACGGGTGTCCTTTTTCGGGCTTGCTGTTGCCCAGAAAAAAGTACCCGAACGTCCGTACTTTGTTTTTATTGTCCCATATTGTCCTAATCTCGATTGTTAAAATTTTATTACTCTAATTCTATTACTATTTTTATAACAATTTTATTACTATTAAACGTTTAAAATTTCAAAAACAAATGATTGGCGTTTTTCACACTCACACCTAAATCTTTCAGAGAAAGGGAATTTATTGCTCCCTTATCAGCAGAAAACGAACTTCTTCCCACCTCGCTCAGACAGGAAGACGGCATGAGGATTAAGAGGAAGAAGTTGACAGTGACCAGACAGAATCCTGTGTTTGAATGGAATTTATGCATCATGTATGAGGTGTATGAATATGCAACAGGCGATTGTTTTTAAGGGTTAATACTCTGTTAACGGGTGTCCTTTTTTGGGCTTGTGTTGCCCAGAAAAAAGTACGCGGACGTCCGTACTTTGTTTTTATTGTCCCATATTGTCCTAATCTCGATTTTTTGTTCAAATTTTATTACTCTAATTCTATTACTATTTTTATAACAATTTTATTACTATTAAACGTTTAAAATTTCAAAAACAAATGATTGGCGTTTTTCACACTCAGTGTCCCATATATAAGACACTAGTGATGGGCCTGCTCTGCTATCTATCATTCCCCTGAGGATGGATTTAGGCTTTGCTGCAGCTTCAGGGTTTTTATGTAAAATCAGCCTGTCTCATTTTTTCCCAGTTAGTGGAGTGGTTTCTCTGTAGAGTTACAGTGATCTTGTAGGGATGTCTTCTGGAAATACAGATCACTGCTCTCTGGCTCCAGCCTCTGACCTTGCATCCTTGCTGAAACAACCTTTGTTATTTAGCAGAGAACGTCTCTAAGTGCTGAATCTTTTCTTGGTGGAATTTGAATCCCTAAACTACAAGAATAAGGTCAAGTTTTCCATAAATTCAGAAGTAATTGACAGTGAGAATGATCTCATTGACTGGTCCATAGGACAGATGTCATCAGCTGAGCTATTCATCCTCATTTCCTCTATGGTCAGTGAAACACAACTGCACTTTTCAAATCTGATGCTTTTCACCCTGTGTTAGATCTCTGCAGAATGAAAATGTGAACTGTGGTGTGGAGCTTTCCTGTTCTAAGGAGGCTGTAATCTGATATTAAGACTCCTCCCATGGGACACCTGAGAAAACCTCAGCCCCTGGTCTGCTTGCTCTCTCTGCTCTCAGCCCTCTGGGGCTCTCAGCCCTCCGCTCCTGCCCCCCCCTCCCCCGGCACGGGATGGCGGGGGGAAATAAAATGGACTCCTGTGCTAACCAACGAAGAGACTTGTCTGTTTCCCCTGCCGCGGAGACACGATCTCATCACTGTAGCCACATGCTGCTGCACTGTGGTGCAGATGTGCATAGAGGGAAGATAGGTGAATGCCTTAGATGTAGATGGTTTTTAAGGTTCTTAAATTAACTCATATGAATTTCACCATTGAGACTGATTAATTTGTAGCCTGCCCTCAGAACCTTTATGGGCCAAGGAGCACATGGCAGGTGAACTGAAGAGACTAAGCTTCTTGGTGATACTGAGGAAGGCAAGAAACATCCCAATTCCAAGTTTTGAGATGGGTCTAAGCCTAAGCTGGTGAGCCACAATAACACAATTTATAGGAACACTTTTGCTCCTTTTCGGCCAGATTGCCATGTCTTGACCACACATGCTTTCATGAGGGCAAAAGCTCAGAGGAAGAAGCACAGTGGTCATGGGAGCAGATATGGCATTAATGAGCTCCTGAGACAAGTGAGCTTTCCCAGAGATGGCAAGATCCTTGCATCATCAAGAGATGATTTACTGACAGGCTGGGGTGAACATTGCGGTCATGAGCTGTGTGTGAGCAAAGCAGTCCTGGAGTCTGTGCCAACAGGCAGGGTGCAGGAGGGCACCCATACTCTCTCTTTTTATGTCCCCCAGGTGCTGCCACAGGCATGACTGCTGCTATGACACAGCAGAGAAGGAAGGCTGCAACCCCAAGGTGCAGCGCTACCAGTGGGCGTGTGAGCAGAACACCGTGCGGTGCGGTAAGGAAAGGCTGGCTCCTGTTGCTTGGGTTTCCCTCCCTCCCTTCTTCCCTCCCTCCTCTGCAGGCAGCAGGCTGACCAAAGAGCTTTGGGGGCCCCAGAGGCAGGTTTATGTTTGCCAAACTGGTTTCAAAACTGCTTTAGGCAATGTCCATTCTTGTCCAACTCCCTCCCTGTTCCTCGCCAGGAGCTGGGAGGAAAGCTGGAGCCCCAGCACAACCCATTCCAGGTAACCTGAGATCCACACAGGCTGAAGAGCAGGACTGGGGGCCATGGAGCCCACAAGCCATCTTAGTTTGGCAGGGATGCAGATGATTCTCTGGAGACTTTCTGCTCGGTGGCATTAAGCGTGCCTCTTCCTACAGCTGTGGGTCTTCAGGGATGCTCTTTCCATTGCAGTTCTGGCTCTCCCTCCAGCAGGACTGTCCACTTTTTTACTACCCTTAAGCACTGCTATTGGATGGCTGCAGGAAAGGTTAAATAGGATGTCAGCCTGCACTGCTGTGGGGCTCCAGCCTGAAGTCTTGGGGTTCCAGCAGGGATTTGGAACCATGCAGAATGAAATGCTCTCGAGTGCTTCAGGCAGACAGCAAGTGTGGGCTGTGCTCAGCTCTACAGCTGGTACCTAGTCAAGAAGGTTTGAATTACATAGTCACAGCCTGTCAGTGTCTTGCACAGTTTGTTTTGACATACACCAGATGACTTGAGTCTTAGATTTTGTCATTTGTGTTTCTAAGTCTCCAGAAAGCTCCTGGTTGTAAAATCCATTGTAGAAGACTTTGAAAGTTTGAAAAGAAACTGTGAGAGTAAAACTTATCCCCATAATAACTAGAACATTAAAATACTATTTCTACCTTACCAGAAAACCATATTTTACTGGTGCAGTCCTCAGCCTCACCAGCAGCTGAAGATCTGCCAGCAGATAGGGGATGGGACACAGCACATCTGCAGTTTCTCTTTTCCAAGTTCCAGAACAATCTAGTAAATACAAAGTCCTGGCAAAGGAATGTGTCTCTTTAATGTACAACTGCTCTCCCTCCCGTCATATTTCCATAGCTGACTGATATTTTCTGCTAGTCATTTTACAGCGATAAAGCCCTGTTTCTCTTTGCTGTGAAGGAACAATCCAAGTTGCAGATATGAGATGTATCATTCAGTCCATGGGAGTGGACATAGGAGTGCAGCAGGATGCAGTTGCTCTGACTTAGCCAACAAGCATGAGTTAAACAAATTTCATTGATTCCTTAACTGATGTCCAGGCAAGACCTGATGTCTATCAACTATTCTCCACAAGCCCTCAGCAGGCAACACTCCCCTGATATCCCTGGTGAGGAGGAACAATAGAAATGTGTTTTGAAGCCAGATTTCCTACCCCAGGCTACAGTATGGCAGGGCTTAATGCGATGTGAAGGTATAATGTCTGATCCCATTCAAACAAGACAGATGAAGTATTAAATTTCCAGGCATGCTTGCTGAGCTGAGGGTAACAATGTCCAGAAGTATTAGAAGCAGAACTGTTTGCACTATCATTTCAATGCAACAGGAATTAGATGCCTGTTGCCTGACACTGTACCCTAAATACAGACATTTTCATGTAAAATAAGCAGAAACTCATTTTACTTGATATTTCTCCTCTTTTGGCTACCATTAGGTAGTTTTGTTCGTGGAATGAAAAAAACTGGCAAAACCATATTCTTCAGTCTAGATATGCTATCACCTGTAGGCAAATTCCATTCAATAGATATCTGGAACATAGAAAAGGCTGTTAGTTCTGGGGTCTGGTCAAAAATATCATTCCTCTTGAATGAATGTTACAAAGCCAGACTTTTGTACTCACATTTGATGAACAGTTGCTGGCACAGCATAGGAAGAGCTCAAGGAACAAAGGGGCAAGGAGAGTATCAGGCAAGACTGGTAGCTAAGAAAAATGTGTCCTTAAGTCCTCATTGACCCTTAAAACACTTTTAGCAGTAAATATGTGATTATTCCAAACAGCTTAAGAAACTAGGGCTTTTCTTATTTTTCAGATACAGGGCTGATCCATCAAAGTCCAGTGAAATCTGAAAAAATTCCTATACTTATTCCAGTTGTTTTGGAGTGAAGCCCATGTGCACTGGTACATTAAACTTTGCCTACTGCAGGGTTTTGTGGCTGTTAGACAACCCATGGTAGCAGCCTCAAATAAGCAAGGCACTGTGCTTTAAAATAATATTAATCCAACAACTGCATTTAAACCACCTATAGGTGGGATGAGGTTCATTAATGCAAACTCAGTCATTTGCAATGTAGCCTTCTAAGCTAGTGGCTTTGATGTTATTTATGGTCATGCAATCACATATTTTCATTCTGTATATTTCCATGTTTGACTTTGATCACTTTGTTAGCTGCTAGCTCATCAAAATCAGGTACCTGGCCCTGCTGCAAAGCCCCGTTGGCTCCTCTGCTGTGATCAGAGACATCAGCAACTAATGCAGCAAGTGTGAAAGATGCCTGGTGGGTGCTCTGACACGTCAGGTTTCTGAACATCCCTCTGGGAGGCTCCTTCTTTCAAAGTAGTTTTTATTTCTTTTAAAATCAGTCTGTTTTGCAGAGGGAGGAGTTAGAAGGGAAATTTACCGACTGAGGAACAGTGGAATATTTTTACCTCAGGCTAAGGTTAAATAATTTTCCTTTTTAGCTTTGACTACTGAATTAAATCCTCACAGTTCTAACAGTTCTAGAAGCAGGGAGTGCTGTGTGCTGAACAGATTTTTATAAGCATTGCCAATCTACATTTAGCTGCTAATTTCTGATGCCCTTTGTCACAGTCAAGGTCAGTCCTGTTGACAGAGAGGGCAGGGGAGGGTCAAATCCACTCACAGCACAACATGCTGATCCTGCTGCCACAGCCTTTGATCTCTAAGGGCTGCTTTTTTTGGGAATTTTTCCTCCTAAAACTGTATCTTGCCTTTGATACAGAATCTCTCATCCTCAGCTCACATTTTCTTTTGCAGATAACCTGACAGACCGATGTGAAAAAATGGTGTGCCTGTGTGACCAAGAAGCAGCCAAGTGCTGGGGAGCAGCCCCATATAATCCTCACTTCGTCCTCTGGCCAGACTTTTTATGTGGACAGACTCATCCCACCTGCCATGTCAGATATGGGGGGCCAGAATAGTCTTTTTAGGACCTTTCTTCAAACAATTTGAACTTGAAGGTGGTGGAATAAACTTTTTCCTCATTTTCCAGATCTAGCAATGGTGTGAGAGAATTTCTGTCAATCCAGGATTTATGGGTAGGAGAGACAGACGAGAAAGGTGCGGTGGTGGAATTTCCCTCTCTGTGAGAGAGCACTTGGAATGTATCGAGCTCTGCCTTTGGGTGGAAAACAAGCAAGTCAAGATCTCATGTGTTAGGAAAAAAGGGCAGACTAATAGGTAACAGTAACAGTAATAGGTTACAGTAAAGGTAACACTGTTGTGGGTGTTCACTACAGGCCACCTGAGCAGGAGAAAGTGCATGAGGTCTTCTATAGACGGCTTGAAGCAGCCTCACAGTCACAGGCCCTGGTTCCCGGGGGGACTTTAACTACCCTGACACCTGCTGGAGAAACCACAGGTGACAAAAGTGATTAAGGGCATCTCTACTCTAAGAGATAAGGGTATCTCTTATCTAATATCTAAGGGTATTAAGGGTACCTGCAGGCTTTGCATATCCCTGAAGTATCTCTCTTATGAGGAAAGGCTGAGGGAGCTGGGTCTGTTCAGCCTTGAGAAGAGATGACTGAGAGGGGACCTCGTCTGTGTCGATGAATAACTGAAGGGAGGGTGTCAGGCTCTGCTTGGTGGTGCCAAGCAATGGAACAAGAAGGCACTGAGTAGAAACTGATGCACAAGAAGTTTTATCTGAACAGGAGGAACAACTTCTTTACTGTGCAAGTGATCGAGCACTGGAACAGGTTGCTCAGAGAGGTTGTGGAGTCTCCCTCACTGGTGATATTCCAGACCTGTCTGGACACAATCCTGTGCCATGTGCTGTGGGATGACCTTGCTTTAGCAGTGAGGTTGGACCAGATGATCCACTGTGCCCCTTCCAACCTTCAAGCCTGTGATTCTGTGACAGGTAACATATATGATGAAGCAAAGGGAAGATCCTGCTCTGATCATGATCAAGATCTCTTTTGCAGAAACAGAGGGTTTGGTCTGTGGTGCAGTGGGAACACATCTCCTGTCACCAAATAGTGCTTTTATTTTTTAATCATAGACTCAGAGGGTAGTTTGGGTTGGAAGGAGCCTTTAAAGATCATTTCGTTCCAGTCTCTGTGCAATGAGCAGGGACATCTTTACCCAGACCTGGTTGCTTAGAGCCCAGTTTTCTTATCCCTCATGCTCCTCGACCACAGCACTGGAGACACTTCTGAGCTGTGTTCAGGGGTAAGCAGAGTTACACTGGGCTATTGCAGTTGCAAGGTCAGCAAGGATTTCTGACTTCTGCTTACTGTTATGAATAAAATGTTACCTATTTTTTTAGGTTGCAGAGTTAAAAACAAGTCAGACCAGTTGCTGTAAGTTAGTTTCATTGTTAAGAATTCTTCTTCAATTACCTGTTAATGGTTGGTGATTAACCATTGTCACCCTGATGCTTGCCAGGGAGGGACAGACCTTCCAGGTACCAGGAGAATGGGAGTGGCATCAGAGCTAGTATGCCGATGAGAAATGCATTGCGCCCCGAATTTTGCAGTTTTCCAGGAAAATTTCTAAGAATTACGAGCCAACATAGAACTAAGTGACCTAAGTGATGTCTAAGGATGGGAACATAGTCCAGTACCTGTTTGGATCCTTTTTGCTTCTCACCCTAGCCTGAATGGATGTTGATTAAAGAGACGACCCAGGGTGTTGGACCAAAAAGGGGAATCTGCTAATCTCCTGTTTATTTCACTTACTAGCAGACATACCCACACTTTCCAAAAGAATATTCTCACTGCTCCACAGGCTTCAGAGCTCATACACTGCTCTCTGATACATATAGAAGCTGGTCTCCTACATAGGCATGTCTCCCAGTCACTGACTGCCTTGGAATCCATCATTGTCACATCAGGAAACAGTGGCTGTGGAGAACACCAGGCATGTCAAGCAAATCTTTCATCTTTCCTTTTTTTTTTTTTGTTATTTCTAAGAATTACGAGCCAAAATAGAACTAAGTGACCTAAGTGATGTCTAAGGATGGGAACATAGTCCAGTACCTGTTTGGATCCTTTTTGCTTCTCACCCTAGCCTGAAAAGATGTTAATTAGAGAGACGCCGGTATTAGAAGCTTATATTCAAAGGCTACATTTTCTTCTGGCAAGAGAAACCAAAATCTTATTATTTCAGCCAGGAGTAGCTATGTACCAGTGGGCCCTTTTGCATCTTTGTTGCAAGCATTTAGGCTGGACAAGCCAACAGGACAAAAGCCTCTTTGGCCACGGGCACAGAAGATGGTAGCCACTCCTGCTCCCCAGAAGCAATGCTTTTGATTTCCTTGGGTAGATGCTAGCACTACATGGGCACCTGGAGCACCTGGGTAGGGCTGGGCTCCTGTCTCTGCTGAAACTCAGCTGGCAAACTTTGAATTGCACCTATAAAATAGGAACTAATGGCACAGAGAGACCCAGGGTGCCTCATCAGAGTCCAAACTAAGTGGAGTTTTTGCAGGTGATAGTATGAATTTCTTCACAAAAAGCTGCTTTGCTTCTTGCTGCAAGAGAATGGTAAATATGCCACTGTGGCTGTCAAAGCTGCAGGAAAAAGAAGCTTTCTAATGAAAACAAAAATGCCAAAGTCAACATGTAGAGACAAAGGCTTTTATTCCGTCTAGAACTCTGTTTTTTGGCTTATGGCACATCAGAAGTTGTTCCACCTGCAGGCTTCGCATATCCTGGCGACTCCTGTGATGCTGCACATCAAGCTATGCTGAGCAAGAAGGAAAGGAGAGAGAATGAGTGAACAACACAGAGTCAGGACAACACAATAAACCCCTCCGAGGCTTTCTGGCAAAAGAAGAAGTTGTGAACTCTTAATGTAGAGCGTTTGCAGAGGGATGATGCTGTGTGGGCAGCATCAGCCTATGGAAGGGAGTGCGCTTCCCAGCGAGGGCTGGAAGATCCTCCCCGGAGAGAGCGGCAGAGCTCCCGGCGTGTCCCTGTCCCCGCCACACTGGCCATCAGGTGGCGGCAGCGCTCCAGTGAACTGCAGGAGCGGCCCTTCTTCAGCCCTTCGGGGAGGGGATTTTTTCATCACGCTGAGAAAGATTTTTGAGTGCCAGGAGAAGTGCAAATCACACGTCTCCCCAGCGAAGGCAAAAAAGTCAGCTGAGCTCGCTCTGAAACACATCTTGAGTTGCTCAAAATGGGAACTAAACTTGTTTCAAAATGCAGTGTCAGTCTCCTCAAATTAGATCAATTGACAGAACAGAAAAAAGTAGGTGAGCTTTTGGGTACATCAGCCTTTTATTGGGGCATTTCTTTGGCTCATGTGTGGTGAAAATGTCTGGTTTTCCCAACGTTATTAGCTGATCTCATAGAAGTAGGGCTTTAGAAACCACACCTCACACACCTAAGCCATCATCAGCTCCATGTACACAAGCATTGCAAGAATACAAATGGAAGAACAAAGTTGGCAGGAGGAAGAACCTGTAGTATAAATGTTCAGTATAAACGTAAAAGAACTGAATGAATCCTTGGTCTTTGTTAAAAGAAGTGGCAGCATGTAATTGAAAAACTCTTAGTCCAAAGTGGCAATTAAAGAAGATCCTATATCCTCTAGGATATATAGATATATATCCTATATATATATATAGAGAGAGAGGATATATATATATATATATCCTATATATATATATATAGGATATATATAGAGGATATATATCCTATATATATATAGATCCTATATCCTATATCCTACCTCTTTATAGGTAACTCATTAGGCCCATTGGTAAAGCTCTACCCAACATAAACAAAAAAATATTGGAAAAAAAGTGATGGAACATAGAACCAGCTCTGTTAGTTTCCTTCACACTGCTTATTTTCTCAATCAGATCCTATGTCTGACCAGAGGTAAGTAAATGTCTAATTTGTCTTTCAGTTAAAACGTAGGTACCTTTGGTGAGATTCCTGTCTCATACAGAGGATGCACTTCCTCAGCTGTGGGGTTAAAACAACGATCAGAACCACTATGCCTCCAATACCAGCTGCCACAACCCCAATGATTGTTCCAATGGATTCTTCTATACCAAACAAGCCTGGGGGAGAAAGGAAGGTAGAGAGAGATGTAAAATGTTTTCCAGACAAGTATATGCAATGCAGCCAGCATCTTTTCCGCACTGGCTGCAGAGGAAGCTGCTTACTATGATCATGCTGATGTCTTGTCTGACATGAAATCCCTTCTACACAGAAGAGTGACTTGCACTACAGAGCTCCTGATTTTTTTCATTCCTGTGTAGGAACTCCTGAGCAGCATTCCTAAGCTGCTATGCTGTCTGTTGCTTTAGAGACAGGGCAGCCCTATCACCACAGAAATCTCTCTCAACAGCTGGACACTATGGGATGGCAAAAGAAGATGCTGCTTGAATTAATGGGACTCAGGCTTGTACACTTTAGTTTTGAAAGGACAAAAATTATTCTGACAACTTCAGGAAAACCATTGGTCTGCCTATCTACTTCCAAGGGAGACAGCACCAGAGAGCAGAGACAGCTCCACTGGAGTCCTTTCTTTGACTGGTTGCTCTTGGGACTGTTGCATGACAGAGATGGCATAGTGCTGAAATTATACATTTCATCATCTCAGGAACACAGAAAGGCAATTATGCTGGCCAGAGTGCAGACATTTCAAGAGTAACCTGTGCTACTGAGACTATGAGATCAAGTCAACAAGACACACGACCAAAGCCCTTTCAGAGGGGCACAGTTTGCTTGCTTTAGTGTTACAGTTTAAACTGAGTAGTGTTATAAATATTAGTGAATCAGGCTCAAAAGGTCAAAGGCTTTGTGAATCTTGCTGAGATAGAAGCTTTGGTGATGATAAAGAGGAAAATGGCACTTGCATAATTTACTCTTGACACAGGAAGAGGTACTTTTTGTTAATTAGATAATAAGATAATAACCCTTCTAATGTGTTGACTTTTTGGGACTGAAATCTGTTTAGCCTACGTAAAAGGGAAGTTTGACATTTCCAGCTGCTACAGACATAGCAAGTTACCTCTACTTAATATGCCTAGT